AGTCCTTGGTCCTTGGCCTTGGCCTCGGGAGCAAGTCCTTGGTCCTTGGCCTTGGCCTCGGAAAATTTTCCAAGTCCTTGGCCTTGGCCTTGGCCTCGGAGGCAAGTCCTTGGCCTTGGCCTTGGCCTCGGGTTGCCGGTCCTTGGACACAACACTGGTCACTACAGATCTACTTTTCGAACAACCAACCTCCCGCGATCGACCCGTTACCGCACACGCGCGCATACGTACACACTTACACGCGCATGCCGTAATAGCAACAGCCATAACGGCCGCTAATATGAACGAGGCACGGGACGCACTTTCTCAGAGTGCTAACTATCGTAGCTCACGTGAACCGTTTAAAAATGCTTCTCTTGGCCACCCAGATTCCCATTCTTAGCAAGTACCCTCGGTGAATTGTACGTGAAAGGCAGCTGTAAATGTAAATATTAAATGTTGACATTTAATATTTATTCGACACATTTTTCCAGCATCGGAAAACGTTAATAATGTTTGTGTCATGTTTGTCCTCTGACAGAAACCATAGTGTAATATCTGTTTCTTGTTATTTGTTTTTTTTTGTTTTTTTTTTTGGAGCTTGAAGTGGTAGTGTTTTATTCATCTTTATGCAAATAAAGTCATTTATGCTCGCCTTAACAAATCAAGAATCATGTATGTCAACATCTAGCAAGGAAGAAAGTGCAGATGGGGATGACATACGAAAAAACAAAACAAAAGAAACGCAGACAGGGAGGAGCCCCGCGACTGCTTCGTCCGCAAATCCTGACAAGGGGGAAATCAATTTTTTCGTTGTGTGAAATCTTCTTATGATGTACAAAGTGTTGCTGTATTCAAACTACATTGCACTGTACATTATTGTAGTCCGGGAAAAAAAAGAAGCTATTGTTGCTAGCTGGATGGCTAGCTGGTGAGGGGGGGCCGAGGCCAATGTTGGTTCACACCCTGCTTGTCTGCATTTTCAACTCCACACTGCACTTTTCGATGAATACTAATCCACTCGCCACTACCAATTGTATGCCCTCTATCGCTACAAGGAAATCCCCCACTGAATTGCTACATAGCTAATGTCACAAGTATATGCTTGAAATCGATATAACACTGATAAGTACATTCCATGTATATGAATATATACCATACAATGGGGGCGATAAGATATTTGATCAACTCGGGAATACTCTTTTCAACAATTTATGGGTCAACTTGACTTCAATAGTTAAGGCAATTCCTTCGTGGTGTGTTTGGTGTATACAGTGAAACCTCTGAAGTCCAACAATTCACAATCAGACCGGAATTTTCAGAACGCCATCATACACGATGCTACAACAGAATACTGGAAAAAAATTCTAAGCCGAGCTCGGTGAGCGTCTAAGAAATTCTGCGCTCCTGAATGCATTTTGATTTGGAAAATGGAATTATCCTTTCTTTATTCGGACAAAGGAAATGTGTACACAGGTGTTTGTCCTGGCTGTGCAGTAAAAATAGGCGACAACAAAAGAAAGTGTGCATTGGAAACTCATCTCTGTTTCTTGTTATTTGTGTATTTGAGGGCTGGGTAGGGGATGACGTCATAGAGAGGGGACGAGCCAGGTTGAGGAGTCAGTCTTAGTGTGGAGCGCATGGGCGTGAGTTGTGGCCAGCAGCAGCTCCTGTGAAAGTATTTTAATTGCTGCCTCTTTTTGTTTATTAAAAAGCGAACAGACTGCATCAGCGACTGCGTGCATCCTTGACCACATTGAAGGGCATTACAATATTAAAACAAAAAAATATATTTCCCTCCCATCTTTTTCCATTTTCAAACATTTTTTAAAAAGCTCTAGGGAGCCACTGGGGGGCGCTAACGAGCCGCGTATTGCCGACCCCTGGGCTAGGGAGTGAAAAAAATAAGGACTTCAGCATTCATCCAGATGTGGAGAAGACCTCAAGGATTTCTACAAAGCCTGAACGCCGTTGGCCATGTGTCGCCTCGCTCCGTGCTGCAAAAAGTCTGCCTGGTTGTGAGCTCACAGTGGGGCAGGACAAGGAGAGCGACATTCTTTTGGTCGTCGTCACAGCAAAGGCGACACGATGCGAGCTGTAACGGGCTGGCTCTCGTCCCTCTCAGGTGCCCGTACGCCCAGATGGCGGGCGCCTTGAAGGAGATGGGATGCAAGCACGTGAATACGGGAGTGTAGCAAGCACATGTCAACATCAAACACAAGTTTCTCACCACTCCAGATTTCATGTGCAATGTTCCAATTCACAAAATCTTCGATGGAATTGGTGTCACGGTTAAAGAAACACTGAAATTCACTGAGGAACTCTCCAAAGACTCTTGGTATGTGGTATTTTTAATGAAGAAAAATGAACAACAAAACTGGTGGCACCGGGTACTACAGAACCCCAAAGACAAGATAAGTAGCCTTGGGTCTGCTCTAAAAATAGCTCACCAGGGATGAGACATTGTGACTTACTAAGAAGAATTAAAACAGAAGAAGAATGTTAACATTTATTTTTTTAAACTAAACTGGTCTCCCCGTGCCTGCGTGGGTTTTCTCTGGGTACTCCGGTTTCCACCCACATTCCAAAAACATGCATGCTAGCTTAATGGAACACTCTAAATTGTCACTCGGTGAGAGTGTGAGCGCGATTGGTTGTTTGTCTCTGTTTACCCTGCGATTGGCTGGCAACCAGTTCAGGGTGTCCCCTGCCTACTCCCTGAAGACAGCTGGGATAGGCTCCAGCACGCCCCGCGACCCTTGTGAGGATAAAGCTGTTCAGACAATGGATGTATGGATCGATAACCTGGTCTGTTTCATCTCCACTCAAAGTAAGGCTTATTTTGCCAAATTGACGAGGAAAAACCAAAACAATGCTTCCTGCTCAGTAAAAGATATCTGGTGTCCTTATTTTACAACATTTGAACTCAGTGAATAATTTGTTTGATACGCATTCCTCGAACTGCAAATTTCCACGTTGTGGTACGAATAAAGGTGATCTCATCTAATTCTCTCCAGCTAGCTTTAGACATCATCACATCCTTATATGCTACGATGAAAACTGATAAGTTGATGTCTTCTTTGGGAAATGTTGGCAGGCATGATGGCAACCTTGTGTGTCGATTTACAGTACCAAGAACACGTTTTGCATTTTTGGGTGAATGCTTTATCATTTGAGTTGAAAATTAAAGTAGCAACAGATAAGCTATTAAATATTAATGAAAAAGAAAGTGTTAGGGAGGGGCCAGCCAGGCAGCCTCCTCAGCCACGGTGCTCTGCACCTCACACCTGAGACTCGTCAGCTCATCACCCACCTGTTGCCTATCTGCTCGTTTGGACTGGTACATATTGACTCACAGACCATTCCTCAGTGCAAGTTCGTGCCGTCACCACGCCAGTGGACTTTGTTGCCATTTCCTACAGCTGCTTGTTCCTTGTGTGGACAATTCCTTGTGGACTCCTCGTGCTTCCCCCTGAGTGACTTTGCGAAGACTCTTCGAATAAACTACGCCAAGTGTTGGCTTCAACAATACCTGCCTGTTGTCGTGCTCTTGGGGTCACACCCAAACCCTAACAGAAAGATTTATAAATCCAAATCCAAAGTGATTCTTACACGTTCTCCATACATGCATTGTTCATGTTCATAATTTATAGTGAATTAGAATGCTTGAAAAATGTGGTGGATTCCCAGGACCCCAACTTACGAGTACTCATAACGTATTTTTATGACATTAACATTAAAAAAAGGCATTATATTCAAAAAAATATCATCACAGTCATGAATACTTTAGGCCTACATCTGTCACGTTTTGGGTGATGGTAGGTGGAGGACCCCAAAAAGGCGGCAGGCAGGAATAGCAGGGTGGACTGAACAAAATGTATTTAAAAAAAAAAAACACTTGCAGGGTACAGTGGAGAAAATTCAGATACTCAAACAAAGTCCTGAAAATCACAGGAAACCAAAGTACGTAGGAAAAACAAAACAAAAAAAAAAACAAAAAAACAATGACAGGAACAAAACATGACAGGAGCACACAAACACACACAATGCTCCAACAAAGACTGACAGAGCCCATGGAGCTAAATACAAGCAAAGTGACAACGAGAAACATCTGGACAAACAAGACACAAAGGGTTGAGGGAGCTGATTGGTTAAACAAAAGGGACCCGGATGACAAGGACAGGTGGCGACCAAAAGGGCACATGAGGGAACAAAACCAAATGTAACCTAAACAAAAACATAACATCAAGTATAAATAGATGGCAAGGTGGGGGATTGGTTAGCATGTCTGCCTCACAGTGCAGTGGTGCAGGGTTCGATTCCGGCTCAGAGGCCTTCTTGTGCGGAGTTTGCATGTTCTCCCCATGCCTGCATGGGTTTTTTTCCGGGTACTCCAGTTTCCTCCCACATTCCAAAAACATCCAAAGCAGATTAATGGAATATGTTAAATTCTCCCTCGTTGTGAGTGTGAGCGCGGATGGTTGTTCGTCTCTGTGTGCCCTGCAATTGGCTGGCAACCGGTTCAGGGGGTCCCCCGCCTACTGCATTTTACTCAAAATACCAAAATAGGGGTCAGACCCTATTTTGGTAAACCTTGATGTCGATGATGCTACATGGTCCTTAACTGGAGTGACCTACAAAAAAATTGACTGTCAACAGAAAAAAGCTTTTCTCCATCAAATACATTTATGTTGTCAAGGTTAAAAAATTGTTTAAAAAGTCAGCGGCGGATGGTCAAAGTAGCATGCGTGGGGCCTCCACCATTACTTTCTAATGGTGTAAATAAGCAACTCTCTCTCTGTGTGTGTGTGTGTGTGTGTGTGTGTGTGTGTGTGTGTGTGTGTGTGTGCGTGTGTGTGTGTGTGTGTGTGTGTGCTTCCTCGAACTTCAATAACAGTTCGTATACATATCCCATACAAGGTTGCTTTGATCCTGTGTTATAAAATCACGATGTTCAGTATTTTATCAGGACTTTCTGAGACAAAATGAATATGTTTTGAATCTTTGAGTGCATGCTTTCCTCCTTGTGCAGTCTTGGCCTCAATTTTGGTTCTTGGGACAGAGTGGATGGTGATTCGTTCTGGCTGCAGCCCTTGTCCACTTGTCGACTCCTGGTGGCTGCGATTCATTATTGCAGCGATGCACCAGCAATGGGTCCTTGTTGGGGGCAGTTTTTTTCAGCAGCAGTCGCTGCAGCATCTGCTTATCCGATCGCTCCCGTCGAAAGTCATCTTCGTATATTTTGAGCTGTGACCAATGATCAAAATGCATGAAAAAGGTTGGGAGATCATCAACTCCGCACAAGCACTCACACACGCACTCATACACGCACGTGCACACACACGCACGCACTCGCTCGCGCACACACACACACACACACACACACACACACACACACACACACACACACACACACACACACACACACACACACACACGCGCGCGCGCGCGCGCGCTATTGGTTTCTTACTATTTTTCTTCCATTTTCTCTCTCCCTAATTATTTTTAATTAAATTCAGAGCAGTGAATCAATGGCCAAAAAAAAAGTATCTAGCATGAATAAAATTGGCATTCTACTTTGAGTGCTGTGAATAAATCCAATTCTCTTTTCAGAGCAGTGTCTGTTTGACTTTCTGCTCTCTGAGTGTACGCCACAAATTCTGCATAGCAACAAGAGGCCACGTGTGACCAGCAGGAAGAATCTGAGCAATTGTAATCATCTCTTGCTGCCTCTGCTAATTTTTATGAGGAATCACGATTTTTGGGTCATCTGTGTGAAGAACTTAATCAGTAGTAAAACCCTCACTTATGGAGTAAGCAAGAAAACTGTGCTTTTCCTTGAACAAGCCTCGCAAAAATGAGTGTGCCCTTCAATTTGAACACTACCTGCTCTTGCAGTAGGTCCACCTGCTGGCGCATCTCCTCCCTCTTCTTTCTCAACCTCTGGTTGTCCTGCAGTGTGTGTTTGTGTTTGTTGTGCTCTGTCTGATATTCTGCTTCATAGATCTCGGTCTGCGGACACAAGATGTCATCATGGTGCTGGGTCAAGAGCAAAACAACCGATAGCCTCCTGTACTCTGGAGCAAATGTAAGAACAGAGCCTAGTAACCACTTGGTGGTGCTTTTGTCCATCTCATTTAATGCTGTTTCTCCATAGCAACAGTCAGTTTAAAGCATTAGGATTCTGGGTTGAAATGAAAAGCCCACCTGACACTTCAGTGCTTCGAGCTGGTCTTTTAGATCCAGCACCTCTTGATGAGAGTGAAAGTTCAGACGTTTGGCCTGCTGTATCACATCCAGACTAGAAGATGATGGGGCAGCACATGATGTGGGGGAGAAGTCGGGGACCGTTGTCTGGACCTTGTCCTGATGAGAGAAATAATTCTTGCATCAGGGCTCACAGATTGTCACCAGACACAACGGAGAGGTGAAGATACCTTTTGGACAGGCAGCTGGTTCCTTCGGTGCTCCAGTAGCCTCACATATTCTTGTAATTCTTGATTCTTCTTCAGCTCCAGCATGAGTGCCTGCTCGTAATAGTCCTTTGCACTCTGCACGTACAGAGACAAACCTTAGTAGTCAGTCACAATCTCAGTTAGGTGAAATGCTTTTTTCCAACATCTCAGTCATGTGCGATGGCGCATCTACACCCATAGCAGTTAACATGGAATTGGTCCCTTGCAATAATGGGAAGACTTTCTCCAATATTTGAGAGTGACTTTTGTCTCGAGATGTTATACAGAAGAGTCTGGCACACTAATGTTACTTTTTCCATTATTTCATAAAATACCATTGTACCTCCATCTATGAGTTTTCTATAGCCCGTATGCTAATTAGGGTTAAGGGTGGGTTGGAGCCTAAACCAGTTTGGGCAAGAGTCAGGATACACACTCGAATGGTTGCAAGCAAAGCGCAGGGCACATACAAAAACAAGCAGTCTCAGTCACATTCACACCAATATGGACAATTCTAGCTCACCCCTCAGTAAGGTGAAAACTAATATTGAAAAAAATTATTTGTGAATAAGCGGCCCGGTGGTCTGGTGGTTTGCGTGTCGACCTCACAGTGCAGAGGTTGTGGGTTCAATCGCGGCTCTGGTATTCCAGTGTGGAGTTTGCATGTTCTCCCCAGGCTTGTGTGGGTTTTCTCCGGGTACTCAGTTTTCCTCCCACATTCCAAAAACAAGCATGGTAGGCTGATTGAACACTCTAGATTGTCCCTTGGTGTGAGTGTGAGCGTGGATGGTTGTTCGTCTCTGTGTGTGCCCTGCAATTGGCTGGCAACCGGTTCAGGGTGTCCCTCGCCTACTGCCCGAAGACGGCTGGGATAGGCTCCGGCACCCTTCACGACCCATGTGAGGATAAAGCGGATCGAAAAATGGATGGATGGATGGATTTTTGTTAACAAAATGAAGTAAAAACAATAGTGTTTCTTTTTAAATAATAACAAACATTTTATGTTCATAAAACTAACTATAATTCTTATTCTTCTAATTAAAAAATGTCCCTTGTTCTCATGTTTTTCAATTAATTCCATACATGACCTTTCGCTGTTGATATTCAGTTCATCTATTTCAGTGCGGCCATCCAGAAGTAAGGGCGAACAGTCATTTGGGAAGTGTAATTTACTTATTCGAAAAAGGCTGACACCTTTTTCTTGCATTCAACAAATACTTCATACACATATTTAAGAAAAAAAAACAAGACTAAATCATCAAAACTAAACTAAAACAATGCATTTTTGAAAAAAATAATACTGATATGATAACAAGTGATAAACCTGCTCTAAAAACCAAACAAATTTAAAAAATGTCAAAACAAAATCAAAACAAACTATGGTTAAATATTTTTTTCCCGTGTTCGTGTTGAAGTGAGTGGTTGTCAACATCAAGAAGAAGGACATCTTGTTTGTTCTAAGATCTCTGTTTTGGGGGAGGCGTTAAGTTGGGTAGAAATCAACTCGGAGTGTGTTATGGTCGCATTTGTATGCCCAGCAACGAACGTCTTGCAAGTTGCAATGTTCTCTCCGTATTCACGTTCAAATGAATTGACCTTCCATCAAAGTAAGAGTAAGTTAGTAACCTTGGAAAAATCTTGAGGGCAGCAGTAAATGTTCTCAACTTGCATTGAAATGAGCACTTTATGTGACTGCAGGTGTCATTGTGAGTGTAAATAGTTATTTGTCAATCTGTACCAAATGACTGACAGGCAATCAGTCCAAAGTCAGCAAGAATCGGCTCCAGCTCACCCTGAGACATCGGGGATTTTTGATGCATCATTTCCATATTGCTGTATATGTTTACCTGTTGGTTCTCGACTCTCAACAGCAGTTTGCCGTTCAGCTCTTTGAGGGTGGCGTTTTCCAGCTCCAAACGTTCCAGCTGCTGCTGCAACCCCAGGGTTGTATTGTGATACATCTGGTCCCACTCCTCATTCAGTTTCATTAACTGCAACACAAACATTTCATCACCACTGTCATTAAAATCAATATCATCATTGCCACGCTGTTGGATTTCGTATTGGGGCAAATCAAGCCACCACAGCCAACTTGTTATGACGCTTGAAAGAAGCTTACACCTGTCTTTTCTTTTTTTTTTTGCAATATATTTTACATTCAGTACAAAGTAATGACTCAATTTAAGCATTTCATGCACCCTGTAAACCAGGGGTGCCCAAACTTTTTGGACTAAAGATCGACTTTTCGATCAACCAACCTCCCGCCATCAACCCGTTACCGCGCACGCACACGCACACCATGATGAGCAAAAGCCTGACACGGAGCCATGCGACGCACCTTTGCAGCCGGTTAACCATTGTAGCTCACATGTACCATTTTAAAGCGCTTCCCTCGGCCCTCCAGATTTCTATTCTTTGCCCGTGCCCTCGGTGAATTGTACACGAAACAAACTCTGAATAGAATAGTGATAACGATAAAAGATATTGCGCAACAGCTCTGATCACAGGCTGCAATTGCAGCTGCTGAGCGCTAACAACTTCCGGTGACGCAGGTCACGCGCCACCATAAGTTAAAGATGTATCTGCTTTATAATATTTTTTTTAATACTTTTTGTGAAAATGAGACTGATAGGATGATTAGGTTGCAGTGTACATTAACATAAAAAATATATTACGAACATGCACAGAGACACACAAATGGTTGTTTGTTTTTTTCTCCTCTACACCCCTCACGATCGACATGGGACCAGTCCGCGATCTACTGGTCGATCGCGGACGACGTAATGAGCACCCCTGCTGTAACCTGATAACATGATAACCTGTCCACTGTCGTAGCCGCCGTCCCTGAAAGGGTCATTGAGGAATTTATAGAAATCAGTGTTGCTTTTGGAATAGTGTAGTTTGTCACATACTTCAGTCCGCTACTGAAGGATTTAGCACACAATTGTTTTGCTTTTGTGCCTCTTTTAATTGACGAAAGACAGTAAGAGAAAGGACTGTGTTGTAGTTCTCTGGCTGTGGATAAAAACACACTCCACTCCACCATCACATGTGTATCTCTATCGCAATGTTGCAGGCATATTCATCAGAGGGCGAGTTCATATCAAATGGAAATAAATAATAGCTGCATCCAAAAAACTGACTCGTTTTTCCTCTTTTCTTTAAAATCGGGAAGTAGCGCAAGGTCATATGATTTGTCGGGGGAAAAAAACAGTCATTTCGACATCTCAGCAGCAATATTTCACACAACGCCCATATCCTCTGATTTTGATAAGCAGTTGTGTCCTTTCCAACATCAGCAAAACATACGAGAGCACAGCAGCAGCAACAGTGAAGTCGTACCTCTTTGTTGACTCTGCGAAGCTCCGTGTTCTTGTTAAGGAGGAGCAGCTTCTCCTGGTCGGCCGAGGTGATGCTCATACTGTCAGTGACCTGCTGCTCCATAGATGGTGACCTGTAAGACAACAAATGCACACTGTCCAACCTGTAGACACATAAAGTACATGTCACCACTGCCACAAAGTAAGACAAAAAGCAGAGCTGGCGGCAAAAGTAAGCACATCCTGTGTTTAATAGATGTATGGCGATGTAACAAAATCAATTTAAATTGGAAAATCAGTTTTGGTTTAAAAGATGTGATTTACACCGAACTGAACCGAATTGAATCGTTGCACTTAAAAATCGATCAAGATTCGTATCGATTCATCTTTTACTGAAAAAATTGCAAGATTTTCAGCACTGACTGACAAATTAATTCAAATTTATGGAAAATGACAAGATACTCATTGCATCATGCCCTCTCCAACTGAGCCATTCCATATTGAATCAAATCATTGAATAGAAGCATAATCCCGTGTGTGTGTGTGTGTGTGTGTGTGTGTATATATATATATATATATCCAGAGAGCGAGAGAGAGAGTGAGAGAGAGAGAGAGAGAGAGAGAGAGAGAGAGAGAGAGAGAGAGAGAGAATCAGCAAAAAATAAATAAATCCTCAAATAAAGTACAGATACCTGGAAAATCTACTTCAGTGCTGTAATAAAGTATTTGTACGTCTTGTTACTTGGTGGAAAGCACTAGCAGAGGATTTCCATTAATAAAAGCAAACCCATATGCACAAAAGAACCTCAGGGTACTTTTAACACCCACTCACATAGAGTGAGTGCACTTTCGGAGAATAAAACCCAAGCCATTATGTTCACCCACGCAGACACACACGCACATACTGTACGTATGTGTCGTCACAATCGGCACTCAAGATAGTCAGCAAATGTTGACCATCATTAGACTGGAAACCAATAAGAACTATTCAAGTATTTTGGATGAGAGCAAAGCAAAAAAGGCATTAATTAGTCATAGCAGCTTGCTCAGTGGCGGTGTTGTGAGGTCTCATCTTGGGGGAGTAGCCTGCAGGGAGAGAACGGAGACGACAAATGTCCTGGAAGAATACACACAGCTTTGCATGTAGCGCCCACGGCGTCGCCACACATGCGTGCTGCAGGACTCCCGAAGAGAAAGTCGAACTGCACCCTCATCTCCCTTAAGGCCAGACTCCCCCGCAGAAAGGCTTGCTTTCATCCACTTACTCTATGTGCACTGCACTGGTGTGTGAGTTCTTCTTAAGGCAAGCTGGAGTTCTTTGAAAAGCCAAGTTGTTCAATTAGGTTGTTAAAGAGAACTGAATTAAGTTACCGTACACCAGTGTATCAGTCTCTAAATTGACAGCTTAAAGTTATCGACTCAATAGGGAGCATATTAAAGATTAATTATCAAGATTTTTAACAAGCTTAGACCAAAAAGCCTACACTCTATCCATCTTGATCATCACTTTTTCTTGCTCAGCAGATATTTCGATAATCTTACTTTTAAATCCTGCTCTGATTTGATTGCCATTTTACAAGGTGCGGACCTCTGGAAAATGTTTTATAGTTCATAGTTTCATTTGAGGCTTTGAAAATAATGTCAATGGGCATTAATTTTGCATGAATGCAAAAATTGCATTGGCAAGTTTAAAACACTTTCATGCATTCATTTTATATACTGCATCTTCCCTTTAGAGCCACAGGCGAGGCTACCCCATGATTTTTTTTGAAATATTTGACATTAAATATCATGTTGAAACAAAAGTATTCCTTTTTTTTAACAACTCCTATTGCCAAACTTCTGAATATCCTGTGTATATACAAGGTGATTTTTTTTTTTCCCCCACTGGACCCTCGTACAATCCTCTCCCTTGATCTTAGATCTTTCATGGGCATGGGAGGGGGCAAAAAAAATGTCTATTATTGACAGGAAATTTTGGTAATACATTATTTATGTTTTTGGAATGTGGGACAAAACCCACACAGGAAGGCCAGTTCCCGTATTCAAACCACCACCCTTACAAGTGTGAGATGGACTTATCTCAAGACGTCATAATTTCAGTAAAAAGGTGATAGAAACTTTCTGCAATCAAAAATCCATATATTCTCGTCAGACAGAAATTCTCTCGTGCCTTGATTGTGAGTGGGTGGACAGTTCCTGTTTCATTAAGTGAGAGGATGACGACGTCAGACAAGGACATTTTCTTGGTGTGAGTGCATACAATGGTAGACAGACAGAGTACAGTCAATGGTAGCTGAAGACTGTCATGTCTTGTCTGTTTGTTTTATTTTCAGCCCCAGCTGGAGTGAAGGGTGTTTCCCTCCAGCAGGTGCACGTGTTCTGTGTTTACCAATCAAGCCTTGCCATGTTTTTCAAGACTGCCAAGCTGCCTAGTCACTTGTCGGATTGTTGACCTTGCTTGCTGTTTATGCTCAAGTGTTGTTTTCTAGACCTCTCTATCTCGTTCATAGTCATTTTGCTCTCTTAGTTCCTCGTCTTGTCAGTATTGGTGTTATTCAGGCAATTCTCTGTGTTACTTTACCTCGCCTTTTGCAAGGGCTTTTTGTTCATGCCTTGTTTTTCATGGCTTCTTGTGACCAGCAATTTCTGTTTGTACTTTCTCAGCGCGCTTTTCTGTAAATCAATCTTTTTGTTGTCGCAGTTTGTCTGAGACTGCAATTCTGGGATCCTAAAACATTATTCGGTTTGGTTTTGAACCTAAGAAAGACAGTGGTTGTGACAACCACTGGATGAGCTGTTTTTGCTGTATATTTGTGGAAAAATCAAAAATCATCTCTCACTTAACACAAGTCTAATTATTATTTAATTAATGTTATATCCAGCACTAGGCCATAAGTAGAAGAGTAACTGTTAACCAAACTGACTGGCCGACAGCTGTCACAGCATTCCTTCTGGGACGGCATGCTGTGCAGTGCATGCTGATCTTGATCCTTCCTACTTTTGCCTTTCTGACAGCTGATAAACACTGTAACCTATTTTTACAAAGTTTCCCTTCCTAAGCTGTCTTGGAAGGGCACCAAAATGCCACTGCATGACTAGCAATATGTTAATAACCCTTTCAAGTTCTATGATAAAGAAGGTGATAACAAATCTGTCGAGCCGGCCGCTATCTCGGGACACCTGGCTTCATATTGTCATCATTTGCGTCACCACCATGAGATTATAATTTTGAAAGGAAAACATGCGACCTCAAGTGGATGACTCGACATGAGATTACTGTATGTGGCGGGGAAAGTTCGATAATGTCACTTGTGATGACCTCATTGGAAACTCCTTGGTCACTTCTTTGTTCCTCCTCTTCATGGGTGCTCATTACTTAAATATATTCGCGTCTGAAATGATGATGAACAAGGTCATGGTTTCTCCAAAATGAATAAATTATTGGTGTCCGTCATAGAAATAAAGCTAACAGGTATGAAGAGGGCATGAAAATTGATTGACAGGTGACAACATCACTCCACATAATGCTTCATCAATATCTTTTTAACCGCAAAGGGTGACATGTCCTACTTTACTCATGAATAGAAATATAAACGATACACACCATGATGTTTCTGATGATTTTATGGGGTCGATTTCACTTGTCCTGGTTGAATCTTTGTGTTTATCTGCCGCTGATGAAGATGAAGATGAAGACGTGCGAACCAGCTTCTCTTGATCCATAGCTGATCAAATAGGCATTCCCAAATAATGAAGAATGAGATTTCTGCTCTCACTCGCAGCCCCTCACGGGGGAAGTAAATAGCAAGTGCCAGTATCGCTGTGTAACAAAGGAGGAAGTCGCTGGGGTCGGGGCCATGTGATACGAAAGTCTGAGAAGAGGAAATGACGCTCTGACAATGCTGCGCTGTATTGGCTTGGACCCGCTGTGGTTGACTGTGAAAAATATCTTGAAAATTGCGTGAAGTGATGGCGGACTTTTTCAGATTTTACCTGGGAAACTCAAGCAAATGAATGTTTAATGTTTAGTATGAGGAGAAGAAGTAAGAAGCTGAATAGACGTGACTCTCACCAGAGGGCAAATGAGGTGGAACAACAATACCTCATACTGAACAAGATACAGTACAGTACATATTAATACTTACTACTGTACACATGCCCTAGCGTGAGTCCATTCACTGTCTTTGTGATTTTACTGTCACAATTTTTTTTTTTAATGATTTTGCCATTTACACCACGACAAGAGGTTAGAAACACTACCAGATCCCTGTCCGGGTTGATGGAACACTCTAAATTGTCCTTCGGTGTGTTTGTGAGCGCGAGTGGTTGTTCGTCTACGTGTGCCTTGCGACTGGCTGGCAGCCAGTTCAGGGTGTACCCCGCCTACTGGCCAAAGACAGCTAGGTCCAGCACGCACGCGACCCTCCCCTCGTGAGGAGAAGCGGATTAGAAAATAGATGGATGGGTGGTGCATAACTTTTCTTCAGCTTGTCTCGTAGGACTGGTGGGAGTTTGTTGTGCTGCATGGCAATGCAGGACCTGGCTGTAACAAATGATAACGGTGTCATACATATATTCATGACAAATCATGAAAGGGTCACACTGATTGTATTCACCAGTGTCCTCGCTGCAGCAGGTTAATTAGAAAATCACATGCTCATCCGAAGAACAACAGATCAAATTAAAAGATTTTTCTTAATGATGTTTTCTCTCATCACACTGAGCTATCTCTTATCAGCCCAAGCTGAATTCATTTGCCAACCTTACTTGTGTTTTGTTCGCCTGTGACAGAGTCCAATAGATTCAAGGCAACTTGCATGCTAACGTACTGGTCTAAAAATAATAACAACAACAAAGAATGAATATTCTATGAGATTTTGATTGCGACAGGTGTTCATCAAATCGAGAGGAAAATGATGATGATGAAATGAATTGCTTTCAAAGTGATCAGTCATAACCAATAAAAGACTGTGCAGAAATATTTGCAAACGTATTTAGAGTAGAGATAAACAGTTATACAGTAAAGGGAATTCCTCTTAACTTGATGATGAAGAAATAAACTAAGACATTGCATAGCTATTTTCAATAGATAAAGAAGGTGGATGTCCATGTGCGTACCTTCTCTTAGAATACTACTGCTTTTGTTTTCTTCTCACTGAGTTTCTATCTATATGATCAGCCATCAGGGGTTGAGCACATTACACGGTCACTTCCGAGAGAAACTACCGTCGAGTGACGGCGTAAAACACAGGGCCACCTGTTGAGTAAACATCAACCCGCAGAAAGCAGTAACAGCCCTACGTAGCTGTTTATTTCCGGATGGCTCGACAGACAACAGTAAACCACATCATCAGCCAAGCAGTTTGAGAGTAAGCTAGGAATCAAGTGTAATTAGCGGTTTGGGTTGGTTCTTTTCAAATACTGTTGGCTGCAGTCGTATAAAGCAGGGGTCCCCAACCTTTTTTGCCCCACGGACCGGTTGAAGTCAGACAATATTTTCAGGGACCGGCATTTAAGGTGTGGCGAATTAATACAACAAAATAATATGATATGAGCTGCATGAAAACTGTGGTGTTTTCGAAATATAATAATAAACACAAGGAGCGTCTAATCTGGTCGCAACACTCTTATCGCTCTGGTAATGTTTAATGCCTTCAAAATACGATACAACGCAAATTCAAAGTGCATGAAAATGACGACTCACCACAGTCCCGAGCTTGATTTTCTGCAATCAGACAGTCCCATCTCGGGGTAATAGGAGACAATGACACCTCAAGTGTGTGGTTTATGTCCAGTCTACTTCGTAATTTTGTTTTAGTCGCCGTTGCTGCAGAAACTCCCCACTTCACACAGGTAGGATGTCGGAAATAGCAACAGTGCTATTGTGGCGATCTCAGAGTATTCAGCCATAACTTTGATCCAGTTGTTTCGAACGTACTTTTAAGGCCGCTGTCATTTGTGATCTCCAAGCAGCATTTTTACTAAATTTTGCGGGCTTTAGTGTTTTGTTTTTAAGCGTCATTGGTCACGTGACCGAGAAGTGTGGCTTGACGTGAGTCAAGCGTGACACAGACGGATGTAAAAGAGAATCCGGTAATTTTTCAAAATAAAACATCTTTCGTGTTCCGAAATAAATAAAACAGAAATAAGGCAAGTTCTTTCTGTGCGGCCCGGTACCAAATGCCCTGCGGACCGGTACCGGTCCGCGGACCGGCGGTTGGGGACCCCTGGTATAAAGGGTACAGGCAAATGAATTTTTGTATCCTCAAACTGCATGAGAACACTTATTAAAGTTAGAAAGGGAGACATTTGATGAATTTTAACCGCTCTCTTTTTTTGAAATACACCTCCGGAGGTACCGAGGTGATGTGCTATGATATGACTTGATGAAAAAAAAAAAAAACCATCATCAGATCCTAACGTTTGAAAAAGAAGGCAATTAAGCAGAACAAAGCATTAGCCAAAGGGTGTGTCTTGTTTCTCTCAGTCTAACTCAGTGGGTCTTAACCTGGGTTCGACCGAACCCCAGGGCTTCGGTGAATCGGTCTCAGGGGTTCGACAGAGCCTCTGCCATGGAGGGTAAGACACACCCAACTCAAGATGTCAATTAGTTATGACACGCCCTGGCTGCAGATGATCACATTACATTGCTTGTCCAATCAGTGCTGCGGGAAATTTAGTTCGCTCAGTAGTCAGCGTGTGCCTGTTGTAATAGCACGTGATGTGATTTTATTTTTTTTTAGGTTTTAACACATTCTATGTCAAGAAAAAAGAAAAGAAAGCAGTAGGACGAATATGTACAGCATGGATTCACATGCATCACGGAACGTGATGGGATTCAGCATCCTATCTGCATGATTTGTCATGCCAAGGTGAGTGACTCTCATCTCGCATCGGCAAAACTGAAGGAACACTTCTCGAATCATATTTTTATTTTTCACAAAGGTTTCGGTGGATCTGCATATGAACTGGTGGGGTTCGGTACCTTCAACAAGGTTAAGAACCACTGGTCTAACGCCACGCTCTTGCAAATGAGATCCTGCTAATTCTACGCTCATAATGTGTTGTCTTAAGTTACTTCACTGAATTACTAAGTACCTCCTCACATTTTTCTCTCGTCCCAACTACAAAATTTGAACCTGATAGCTGTTTATCTACAATTACCCTCCCACAAGGGCGCCAACACCACACCAGCTGTCACGGATTGACTGCTAGCTTGGAATGCTGTGGAAAGTTGCGCCCCACCTTGGTCCTATCTAATGCATTGAAGAGGAGCTACTGCGCATGTCAAACTTGTGACAAGTCTCAATGCGTAAAGATCTATGCGTTGTAGAATGGAAGTATGTCAAAAAAAATCAGACAGAGAAAAGTGAAGTGACCTTACTGACAAGGATGAAAAAGGGACTCAAAAGCTCAATTCAACAATTTGATAAACGACAGTTCATTTCGAAAGATTAAAAAAAACACACACAGAAAAACACTGTAGTGCAGGAAACTCAAAATTGTGAAGTAACAACTTCAAATCTCAGTAAAGTTGGTAAAAACTGGGAACAAAAAATAGCAACACTAGTTGTTCATCAAAGTCACAAACTCAGGAAGCACAAGAAACAAAAGCACAAACTCTTGGTAACATGGAAACCAAGGCCTCCAGCAATGGCCGATTCAAGATGTGGCAGAAGACAAGCCGATCTGACAAGGGAAGGACAAGGATAGACGCAGATTATTTATACACGAGGCAGTGAGACGCATGTGGAGAAAATCAGAATGATGAGGAGACATCAAGGCAGGATGTGCTTCTGGAACAAGCACAGACATTCATCCATCCTTTTTCTGTATCGCTCATCGTCAGTTATGGCGGCACGGTGGTTGACTGGTGATGCACGTTTGCCTCAGAGTGCAGAGGTCAAGGGTTCGTACCTGGGCTCCGGCCTTCTTGTGTGGAGTTTGCATATTTTCCCCGTGCTTGCGGGGGTTGCCTCAGGGTACTCCTGTTTCCTCCCACATTCTAAAAATGTGCATGGCAGGTTAATGGAACACATTAAATTGTCCCTAGGGGTGAAAATGGATGGATGACATTTATTCATCATTAACTATGCACTATTCATCATGCTCATCTCAAAATAGATATCCATCCATCCATGCATCCATCCATTTTCTAATCCACCTCCTCATGAGGGTTGCAGGCGTTCTGGAGCCTATCTCCGCCGTCATCGGGCAGTAGGCGGGGTACACCCTGAACTGGTCGCCAGCCAATCGCAGAATAGATATACGTGAATTTCAAAATACTTTCAGGTTCAATTTGTAGTTAAATATTTTTTTTTGTCTTACTCATTTCCTGAATTGACACTGAGTTCAACCATTAAAAGTATTTTATTTTTGACTTCCCGCAGAGGGCGTGTCTTCTTTAAGTATCAATACTCCACCATGAGACAGGAGCAGGGGAGGCAACAATATGCATCAGTGCTGTCCACAAGCTGAGACGGACCTGCTGGGGTGATTCCGTTCACGTGTCTCTTGGATCTTTCTTGGACGCCAGTCAGAGTATTGCTGTGCCAAGCAGCGGCTTTGCTGGGCGGCCCCACAACAGCACTGCAGTGCCTTTATTGACCCAAGACTCCGTCACAGCCAAGGACAAATGGGCTGCTGCTTCCGAGGAGATTAAGAAAGAGTATTACAGAAAGGCGGAGAGTTCATTTATCTGCTTGAAATCCAGCAGCAGCTAGAACGACATGTAAGTCAGGGTTTGATGCTTTGACACTGAGACAAATTGCAGCCGATCTGCATTGGTAACAGTTGAATCACATATATTTGGTCCTTGGAGCAGCTAGTTTGAGCAGCT